CCTGACGTCCAATGGGAGTATAACCCACCCGCAGCGTCGCAGCGCATCTCAGCACAGGCAGAGCGTTGGGCCAGCCGGACCCTGCCCTGGCTCCGCATTCCCGGGAACCGGTGTCGGACACTGCTTCTGCTGGCCTTGGGGCTGGCACAGGGCGGTGACAGGCAATGGTGACTGCATTCTAGGAGAGGAGGAGGAAGAGGGTGCAGTTTCGTTGATCAGTGTGGATTCTGCCAAGAGAGAGAGGTGCACAGTGATTTCTGGTGTCTCGCCCCCCACTGCCCCTCTTTGAGCGATGCTGCCATTGAAGGTGTGATGCCAATCCCACATCCCGCACCCAGGACGGCCCCGTGCACCTGCCTGCCCTGGGAAACGCTGACCCCACTTTAGACATCAGAGCCCACAGCATCCTCCGTGCCTTCCCTGGAGCCCTGCTGCCTTCCTGGGGACCTGGGAACACCCCCGAGACCCTCACCCCCAACAGCCGCGTGCTGGCAGGGCTGCGGACACACCACTCACCTCTCACTGCGAGTTGTCCAGCTCCTTCGCCTTCTTGTGCGACTTTGACTGGGGGTTAAATGAGAGAAAGCAATGATTTTTCACACATCTGCCCCTTTTCTAATGCCAGGGGGAAATGTGGTTGAACAGCTTCTGTCTCCCAATGTATAAGCGTGATTTCAAATGAATTTGAGGGGAGGTTTTTCATGTCCTATGAAAGGCCACAAGACATCCCCCAGTCACAGGGATTTTCTGCTGAGAAAGCAGGAAAGGGATGTTTCCCAGTTTGCTAAAGCACTGGCCTGTCTCTGCTTCCCTTAAAGCAATGCAAGCATTACCAGGCACTGGGATACCTGGGGATGAAGGGAGGGAATGAAACTATTAATAGTGAGTCACACAGAAAATCTCTCTGATTTTGGAGAGGAGATTCCTGGGCCCCAGTCTCTGACAGTCCCAAGGGCTCAGGATTCCCGGTAGCTCAGGAAGGCACCTGGTTGCTCCTCAATATAAATGTTGTTTGTGTTACAGCATCATCACCCACGCACACATCCGCACCCGCGAGAGCCTCCGCAGGGGACGGACACGCTGTTACTTACAGGCTCCGGTTCCGCGTATTTGAATTTCTTCTGCTTGTAATAGTCCCGTCCTTGGAGAAAATGCAGCAGGAGCAGGTCGCAGAGGACAGAGGCCTTCAATCAAAGTGCAGTTAGGGTTGGGGCTGCCCTCCCAGCTCACCTGTGTCACCTCGTACTTCCAGCTTGTTCCAGTTTGCCCCACAAATTCGGGTCACTTCTGCGTCAACCCACAACGTGGCAGCTGCTGAAGAGCGTACAGCCCCCAGATGTCCGTTTAGGACAGAAGTGAAGTGTGCTGCGTTCAGTACTGGGCAATTTAAGTCAACAGAAATTAAGTGTTTCCACTTCAGGGGTATGCTGAGCACAGCACGCTCCAGGTCGTGCTGAAGTCTGTAATGACCATAACCAAACAGGACGCTGGCTTTGTCATGAAATACTGCCTGTCACCTCCAGCCCCCCTCAGTACCAGCTCTAACCTGAAACCACCAAGATCCCAAGACACGGCTCGGCCACCACAGCCTGCCTTCCCCTCACTCGCAGGCAGCAGCTCCTGCTAGCAGAATTCACATCAGCTGGTGGGCAGCACGAATCTATTTCCCTGACCTAGCAAGGCAGGAGAGCACCACCGTTCCTCCTTTTGCCCACCCTCTGCTGCCTGAGCGGGAACCAGTATTTTATTGCAGCCCAGGGACACTTCCCCATGGATGTCACTGGCAAAGAGAATGATTTGAGAGTCTCCATATAGAGGCTGGAAAAACTCACCACTCCAAAAATACCAATTCCGGAGCCGATTGTGGTCATGGTGGGGATGATGTCAAATTTGCCTGCCTGAACAAAATTGGAGAAAAAAGGTGACATGTTACAACCATCCCAGGAAAAAAAAAAGAAAATAAAAAAAAGAAAGGTGCCATAGCTATAGGTGGGGCTCAGCTCAAGAGCCTTGCAGCAACCCAAACCACAACCACAGCACAGAGAGAAACAGGAGCTGGGTAAGAGCTGGTTTTAAGCTCATTGGTCAAACAGAAAAATATGGTAGGCTGGTTTTTGGCTGACACAAATTGAAAATACTTTGCTTCCTGTATTTTTAATTAAAAAAAAAAAATTACCCTTTAATATTCCCAGTGGGAACACAATGAGCAAAATCCTCCCTCCCAGTGGGGAGAAAAAGACAAAATAGAAAAATGTAAATATTCAGCTTTTGGAAATATCAATGAAGAGTTTCAACTTTCCACAGTTCCTCCCAACCTGTCATGACGTTTTCTGGGACAAAACCACTGACCGGACTGGAGCTGATAGATGTGGCCTGTAAAGTGGGCTTCCCCTCTGTGTTCCCTTCCCCAGCACTTCCCAAGGGATGCTGTGAGCAGGGTCAGCACCCAAGGAAACTGCTCGCAGTGGTTTTCCCGGGCCCACGAGACCCTGGTGCTACACCACAGCCCTGGTACCTGCCTGAGGCCACGGCACTGCCTGCCCGGGGATCTGGGGGCGAACCCAGCGCCTGGCACCCTTACCTTGCCATTCACCAAAATGTCGAACCGGATCCCAAACACTTTGTAGAGCGTCCTCTTGTCCATCCCATTTTCTTTGTAGTATTTTGCGTATCTGTCCAATGGGATGGTGAGTGTTAATGGCCTGCCAAGGTGCCCAACAACCTCCCACAGCCCCATGACATCGGGATCTTGGTGGGCTGTGGAGCAGCAGTGGGGTCTGGGGATGCACTGTCATGGACCTGCTCCTGACCCTCTCCTTAACTGCCCTGAAGGAGCTGGGCTGCTGGCACCTGTCCCCTCTCTGCCTCAGTTTCCCTGCCTGCACATTGAAGCTAAAGCTCCCCCCCGAGCAGGGGAATCTGCAAGGGGGAGGAGATGTACAGGGAAAGGCAATAGGGTAATTGTGAGGCCAAGGGACGGGTTTTCACTTTTCTCATGACATTCTGAAGAGAGTACTGCCGTCTGGCACTGCAACAGCAGTGGCTATTTTGGAGAACAGTTCACAGTTTTCCACCTTCCCTTGAGTGCTGTGGGATCCTGAAAGACACCACCTCCAAATTCATAGAATCATAGAATCACAGGATGGTTTGGGTTGGAAGGGACCTTAAAGCTCATCGAATTCAAACCCCTCTGCCATGGGCAGGGACACCTCCCACTAGCCCAGGTTGCCCAAAGCCTCATCCAGCCTGGCCTTGAACCCCTCCAGGGATGGGGCACCCATTAACAGAGGTCTCCTCACCTGAAGTTGAAGCCCGGTGAGACGTTACTGTCATCGTTGTAAAGTCCATGGAACTGGTAGATGGGTTTGCAGTACCGGATGGGCCAGTCGAGGTCACAGTTCCAGTCGATGGTGATGCCCACCACTCCACCCTGCAGCCGAGAGGGGAGTCACAAGGGGACAAGTTTGCAGGGACACCTCCCACTACCCCAGGTTGCCCAAAGCCTCATCCGGCCTGGCCTTGAAGATCCCTCGTGTCTCCATCACTTGGGGGTGATTGCTCTGTCGGTGTCCCCCTCCCATGGGAGCAAGAAATAGAACTTGAAATTGAAGTACCTTAACAGCCAGGAAGGTAAAATTCTGACCCGATTCCTTCACTACGTATCCCAGCTCAAACACGGGGCATAAGGAATCGGTGACTTTGTGATAGGTGCATTTCTTCAGGTACTCTTTGGTAACGCTCTCAACCAAGTTGCGCCTGTGAAGGAAAAGGGAAGGAGGAAGAGTCTGAATAACCCACTAATTTGGGTGGGAAAGAACCTCTGGAGGTCCCTGGTCCAACCAGTCGCTCAAAGCCAGGTAACTTCGAAGCTCAGGGCTTTGTCCTTCTCCGCCACGTGCTCACCAGACCCTGCACATGGAGAGCGAGCCCTTTCCTCCAGCCTTGCCTGGTTTCTCCCACCCCATCAGCGACTCGTGTCCCCTGAGCCTCCTCTCTGCTCTTTTCTCTCCTGCACATGGTCTCCACTTCTGCTTTGGGTTTGCTGCTTTGTCTGCAGCCTAAACCCATTTCTCCAGCACACGTCTGCCTGTCCTCACCCCTTCTGGCAGCCCCCCCTCTCATTCCTCAGCTTTGCAAACCCTCCCGTGGCCTCCACCATCCATCCCTCCCAGGTGCCTCTCCCATGCGTGTGTCGGCTTGTCCACGGGCTCTGCCAGGCAATACTCCGTGCACCAACAGTTTTCATCTCGGACATCTGGACAGTGTATCCCACAGCTTCTCCATTTAGCTGGATTTTGCCGTCTCCTCCAGAAAGGGTGAAAAGGGAAGGACAATGTCGTGCCTTCCACCCGGCTCTGCTCTTTCTCCTAAAAACAGTCTTTCTGTGAAGCCTCCTTGACTCAGATGGTTTTGTAAGACTCGTGCCTTGCTCAACCCCATCCTATCATTGACGTTCAGCAGTTAATTGTCAGCAGTGATCACAGGCAGGAAGATTCCCCGTGGTCCCAGCGGCCTCTGGCTCAGCCCCTCCAGCAGCCAGCGTGGCCGCCCTCACCTCCCAGGACCTGCTCTCCCCCATCATGTCCCTTCTCCTCCCCACCCTCGCTCAGGTTGCCACCTCTCCTTGCTGCTGGTGGGGGATCCCCTCTCCCAGCCACCTCTCATCAGCTCGAGACTTTGCCAAGCGCTTTGGCTGCTGCAGCATTTAACCTTGGCTGCAGCGTGGGGACACGATCAGTTTAGAGAGAGGAATCCGCTGTCTTCAGCACAAATAGCTCCTGTTAATTTGTTCCAAATCAGAGATAGAATCGGTGGCATCACAAATCCTCTCATGTGTGTGCCTTCAGCCGGCGGCACCGTTTCCGGTGCTGCCTGGAAGGGGCCGACCCTACATCCCGCTGCAGCAGCCAGTGGGAACCGGGAGCCCGACCCTACATCCCGCTGCAGCAGCCAGTGGGAACCGTGATGGTAAGAGGGGCCTCTGCTCGTTGGTGGGCAGCAGGCTCATCCCGGCTGCTCACACCCCCCCGAGGCATTCGTATTTTACTGTTTTCTTCAGGGAGGAAAAGAGAGAAGAAAAAATGAAGAATCAGAGAAACTGTATTTTCATGTGCATCGTGTGAGGGCGACCCTACATCCCGCTGCAGCAGCCAGTGGGAACCGTGATGGTAAGAGGGGCCTCTGCTCGTTGGTGGGCAGCAGGCTCATCCCGGCTGCTCACACCCCCCCGAGGCATTCGTATTTTACTGTTTTCTTCAGGGAGGAAAAGAGAGAAGAAAAAATGAAGAATCAGAGAAACTGTATTTTCATGTGCATCGTGTGAGGGGAACTCAAGGGGCACTAATTCCAGAAACCTTCTTGCCTGTAACCACAGCTACCAGCAGAGGCGGGACACATTTGGGAGGGAAACGGCCAAGTTCCCACCAGCTAACCTGGTGAGCGGTGTGGCAGCTGGGGGAGACACGGGGAGTACGAAACGGTACGTGCCTGCACCCTGCCTGATCCTGCCTGCTCCCCTCCTCCTGCCTGCACAGTCCAGTGCAGTCCCAGAGTCCCCCCAGGCCTCCCCTTACCTGGACACCTTGAACCTGGGGAAGGTGATGCTGTTCTTGATGAACAAGGTGAACTTCTCTGCTTCTGACAACAGGGCAGGGCTGAAAAACACAAGTGTTGGTGTGTGTCCATCACTTGGCTCTCTGGCCTCTAGAGAGAGCCCCATTTGGGGGAGATTAATCCAAACTGGGACAAGCAGGACCCAGAAAAACTGGTGACCTCATCCCTGTCCTTTCTAAGTGAAAGATCCCAACACGTTTCAGAAAGGCTCCAAGGAAGGAGGGAAGTGCTTGTTAGGGGACAGAGTTAGGTGCTGGGATCTCAATTAAGAAACCCCAAAAGCACATTGAGGTGGCTGGAGGAGAGCTCAAGGGCCCTGGGTGCTTTCCTGGGCTCCTTGGCAGACCCATGGCTGTCCCTGCAGACCCCTGTGAGGAGGAGGAGGGGAGGCAAGGAGGAACAGGACTTCTCATCTACCAGGAGATGCTTCAGTGGCCCATGGAGGCTGGAGACGGTCTGATGGGCAGAGCACAACTTTACTCCAAAGGCAAACAGGATAGACAGGGGCTGCTGGTCCATGCACAGAGCATCCAGCAGAGTTGGGGTGAGCCACCAGCAAGGTGGGGAGCAAATCACCCCAGGAGGGGCCGAACAGGCACACCAGGCAGCATGTGGACCCATGGAGTCTGCATCCACCCAGGCTGTGCTGGCAGGAGCCTGCAGAGCCCTGGCTTGCTCTGACCTACACCCAGTGCTGCTGGGGTGGGAGCGGGTTGGAAAAGGGGCGAGAACATCACTCCTTACCTGGGAACATGGTAATCAACTTCAACGGGGCACCAGCCAAAGATCTCGCAGGTCTTCACAGAGCTGTTGAAATGCACACACTTGCCCGTCATGAGCCCTGCGGGGAAGAGAGACGGCTGCTCACACCCCTGGGTACTGGGAAATCCCAGCCTCACACTGGGATGGGTGGAATCTAGTTGGAGCTTCAGCCCTGCCACAGGCATCCAAGGCACAAAATACTCAGGGCTTTGGTGCTCCTTCATAAAAAGGGCAAATAATTGAATTAATTGTGGCCTCTCAGCTCAGGGCAGTGGTTTCTCTTGTGCTATTGTACAAGGGAGGAATGGGGCAGTTTTCTTGCTAGGATACACCTCAGAAAATGCCGAGCTGTAGAAGAACAGCAGTTTGGGGAGATGGTTTAGTCTTGATTAACCTTTTCTCAACAGAGCTTTTTGCAGCTCAGGTCTCTTTCAGAAGAGGAAGGCAGGAGCAGCCCAGACGGGACCCCCACCCAGTGTATCAGAGGCTTTTCCCCCAAAAAAAAGGTCCAGAGCAACTCCCCCTGCAGACACCCCAGCCCTGTGGCTCTGCCAGAGCACGCACGCTGTGCTCAGTGTGTCCCACCAGCAACGCCGGTGCCACAGCCTCGGTGACGGTGCCCCACGCCGTACCTTGTCCCTGGCGGCTGTATTTCCCTTTGGCGCAGTCGCTGTCCTGCATGCAGAGCCCGGCGTCCGGCAGCTGTTGGGAGAAAGCAGGCAGCCACCTCTCAGCGT